CCCTCGCCGTGGGTCAAAATCCCCACCGTACGTTTAAGGTCCTCGACTGCCGTGACGACCGCCGAGTCCGGCGTCACGTCTGAATGCCGGAACCTACAAGAACTTAACACAACAATTATTTAATATAAAGTACAAGCAAATGTTGCGCGTCCCGCCGGCCCGTGACGCTGCGCACGCCTGGGCAGCGCACAGTTGCGCCTCACCGTCAATACCCCGCGCCGCCACGCGCGCCTCTCGCCCCGACAAGAACCTAGGCTTTCGCTCACGCGCACGCCGTCAGGCGGGCGACACTGCACTTGCGCGGCAAAAAACACACCAAATACCCTTGTAAGGGTATTTGGTACGACAGCGTGGACGCTTTCTTGCTTTCTTATAGGGTGTCAATCGGTGCTTCTCCATCAACTCAGGGTGCGTGATAGTGTCGTTCCGGTGTTGTGACAACCGATTTAACTGCAATTGCACAATGAACAGACATAACATAATTTTTTGGAGAGATTACGATAGGGCTACTGCAGAATCCGCCCGTCGGGTGCACCGCAGTGTAGAAATTGCGGCAGAGAATGTGGGGGCCATGTTCAGCACGATAGTGAGGCAAAGAGACTCGCTACGGGATGAGGTCGAAGATCTTCAAGGAAGGATGAACATGATGACGGAGACTGTCCAGCAAGAAAGAGCACGTAACACGAGGTTGTGTGACAAGTTTGGACAAGTATGCAGAGAGAATATGCGGTTGCGTAAGGAAGCTCGTGTTGCAATCAACGCTACAATACACAGTTGTGAAGACGAGTGTGCCGTGCATGCAAAGGAATCTTCACAAGTTACATCGCTTCATGATTTATCAAACAACAAACCGCCAGAAGTTAAGCAACTCAAGAAAGTGTCCTTCAAGGACAAGCCGTTGTCATCACACTCGACATTCGTTTCTACGTATAGTTTGTCTTCGGACAGCATCTTGGAGGAGGCATAGAGCAATCTACAACTGCCCGACACCACAAACACTTCCAGCGACAGTTTGAAAACTGCGTCCGCATCGTCTTTACGTCGGTCTTCTGCAGACGATGACAGCAATGCCTATAGTAGCAAGACAAAGTTGTTGCGCCGTCGAAAATGAACAGGGCGGATTGTACGATATAGAGATAAACCGGGGCGATTTGAAAATGTTTTCAGGCGACTGCAGTGCTGTCCCGTTTTCATTCACTAGGAAAATGATTCTATGTCATGTGTTTTTTTTTCCCTGATTTTGTTTTGGGGGGGGGGGGAAGGTGGTGCTGTCATTCGGGATTGAGGCTTTGTCTATTGGGCTGCTCCATCCACCGGGATTGAGGCTTTGTCTATTGACCTGCTCCATCTATTGGTGGGGAGCCACTGCTGCTGGAAACCGGATGTAGAATGCTCCTTAGACAGTCGTTTTTTTTTTTTTTTTTTTTTTTTTTGATAAAGACCAAAAAAATCCTTTATCGGAAGGGAGGCAATGTACCCTCAAATGTTTGTGGGTCCACGAGCTTATGCTTTGGGATAAGTGACGAGATAACGCAGAAGCACCCTATAATGTTTGTGGGTCCTTCAACAGGGAGACAATGTACCTGTTGGCGCCATACTTGTGATCTGAGGGGGGATGCCGGCTGAGCCAGGTCCTATGCTGACGAACGATTGGAGAAGACTTGTAATCTGTTTGGCGCTGGGCTTTTTGAACTCAAGATACTCATTGTAAATTGGTCTTCTTGTCATTGTTTACTGCTTGACGAGGGCAACTTGTACCCATCATTTGCTGACTTAGTGATGATCTAAAGGCTATAGGTGCTGGAGGGATTTATTTTGGATGGTGGGGACCTTCTGCACAAACAATGCACAAACAGGTGTGGTAAGACTGTTTTGCTGGTAAGGCGCTCGTTTGCCAGGGATGAGGCCTTGCCATGCCACCTGTTTCGTGGCTCAATTCTGGAGTTTGAACGGGATTTTCAGCGGGTACCCCAGAGGACAAATGATGCTACACAAGTGACAACCTGATCCACTTGGAGCAGTTTGTGCTGCATTCTCCCTTTATTACAGCCTGGTGAGGGTCTGGCTATTACAGGTAAAGCCAGTTCTCATGTACCTCTTGCGTTGTGTTCTTTTCACACTTTCATGGATATGTAGTGGTCTGCAATGCCTATTTTAGTTCTGGACTGGTGATGCTCTGTACTGGTGCAAAATCTTAGGGTTTGTCTGTAAGGCTTTTGCGTACCTGGACGTTTTTACCATAAGAGTTGTGTTAATCCTCTCCAGGCTCAGTTGGGGGAAGGCCGGTCGGGTACCATTCCAGGCCCCTCGGGGCGGGCAAGGCCCGGGCAGGGTCCCGGGTGATCCAAGGATTCCCAGCGCATAATATTTGAAAAAATAAAAAATAAAAAAGTCAAAAAAATCCGAAAAAAAAAAATAGTTTTGTAAAATTGCAAAATTGGCAATACAACAGAGTGTTGGCTGAGGGCCAATACAAAATTCCATGTTAATTATAAGATAAAAATAAATTGGATAACCTGAGTCCAAATGTACCATTTTGACCCATTGGGTAACTGTTTATAACCCCCCCCCCCCCCCTCCCCCCCTCGGATGACCCTCCACCAAAACCGAAGTTAAGACCGGATTCTGACTGCAGAGGCCAATTGCAGTCCTTGCCTGAAGTCCTTTTTTTTTTTCCCTTTCGGATTGCCTCTTTTTTGACCCGTCTGGTTTTGTCGGGCGACCTCCCCTCTGCACAACTGGCCCGCGTGTGCCTAGCCGGGCGACAGCCCAGCATGGCATAAGAGTAGTTTTAGGTGATGAACTGCTGAGGAATTGTGTGATGGATAAAAGAATTTTGAAGATGAGCAAAGGAACAAATAAATGTGTTCTGCTAGTGGCCAGATTCACAGAATGAGCAAAGGAACAAAGCAATTGTGTGATGGATCAAAGAATTTTGTAGATCCACAGTCATAACAATTTTACCTCTATTGCAGACAATGAAGCATGCTTAAGATGAGCCAATCCACCAATGAAACAGTTTGTTGAGTGTGGTTATATTCGCACAGAGAGTGTAATCTTAAACCCAACATGGCATAAGAGTAGTTTTAGGTGATGAACTGCTGAGCAATTGTGTGATGGATCAAAGAATTCTGAAGATGAGCAAAGGAAGAAAGAAATGAGTTCTCCTACTGGCCGGATTCAAAGAATGAGCAAAGGAACAAACCAATTGTGTGAGCCTGTTTTTGAATTCTGTAGATCCACAATCATAACAATTTTGCCTCTATTGCAGACAATGAAGCATGCCTAAGATGAGCCAATCCACCAATAAAACAGTTTGTTGAGTGTGGTCATATCCGCACAGAGAGTGTGGTCATATTCGCACAGAGAGTGTAATCTTAAGCCCTAAACCCTCGGTTGTCCAGTCATTCCTGTTCTTTGCAGAAACTTGTGCTAATCCTCTGCGGCTTGTTCCATCACTACTGGGAAAAACATATGCACTTGGAAAATTTGGTTTGTATTGGGCCTTATAGGACAGTGCACTCTGGGTGGCACTATGTACAAGGTGGTACTGGTGCATGCGGGGCTATCAGATCCATTTCTCCAAGTGAAACACCTCTCGACCTCTCATCTTGCTGAAACGAGCACGTCCCCTTGTCCTCCCTCCCAACGGCCATGGCTGATCCGACCCAGAACAGTCTGGCCCAAAGAAGAACAAAACCCACAACACTGCCCCTACCCTCTCGAGGATCACACCACCCACCTTGTACAACCCTGAAGGAGATAATTCAATCAGCACCCATGAGCCCAAGACCTACAATATCACAGCTTGAAACTCGGTCTTAAGGATTTTTTTGAAAATCCGTCAAATCAGTGACACCAAAATACGATTTTAGGATTAAGAGTCCTGATAAATAAAAACGAATTTCAGATTAGGTCGCCTTAGGACAGAAAAAACCACAGGGGGTTTGGAATCATGAACAAAGATGGAAAAACGTAGGACATTCAAAATTGAATAATGTTTCATTGGCATCAGAGCAAAACTCTGATTTACGAATTTCAGACTAGGGATCTTGCTCAGTGAATACGGATATAGGATTACGAGTCCTGATAGAAAAATACGAATTCACATTAGGGATCTATTCTCGTAGGCGAGAAAAGGCACGAATTTCAGATTAGGTATCAGAGCAGAACCACACTTCTTACATATTTCAGATTGGGAAATATGAGTTACAGATCTAGAATCCTGTTTCGAAAATACAAATTTCAAATGAGGGATCTCGCTCAGAATCAGAAAAACGATTTCAGATTAGAATATGGGAAAACGAAATTCAGAATAGGGATCAATTTTTTTCATCCACTAGGAAAACGAAGATCTCATGATTCAAATTTTGAACAGTCATAAAAACAACTTTTGAAAAAACCTCCGATCACGCCAGCATAAGAAAGCATCATCATCAGAAGAATCCGGATCAGCATTGAGCAGAGATTCTATAGACTTGCGAGCACAAGGAAATTAGGACTTCAACCATCAGTTCTGACACTTAGAAAAAAACAGCGGACACCGACCCTAGTCGTGGACTTATGAAAATTCCCCAGACGTCCACGCCCATGCACTGCGTCCTTCAGCATCCTCCCATGCAAGTCTTGTCACGAACTCTTCCGCCACATTCAACACATAGAAATACTAGGCCGCCGCTGCTCGAACTCCACCATTCAAAAGTCGCCTATGAAAAAACATGCATCAAAGCAACAGACTGGCGTGGAGGAAACACGTCAGTCAGGTTGTCATGCGCGTGATCCACCTTCGTACTCAACTCCAGGTTCTTCTTCATACCCACAGGGAGGCAATGCACTGATAAGCCTGCTCCACACCGGGACCCTGTAATTTCGGGCCAGTCATGCATGAACACTGTAGACTGCCACCAGATCAGGGTGTCACATTCGCTACAGACAGAGGCTGGTCAGTGAGAGTCAACACTCAAAAATGTTGACCACAGCCTTCTGGATATTGGAGACACCATTGCACAAGTGCTTCATTGTCCGTAATGGACGGTCAAGCTACAGTGACTTCAATCATAAGGGTGGAACAGGGGCTGTTGTTGTTCAAATTTATAACTAAAAAAGAAAAAAAAAAAAAAAAAAAAAAAAAAAAAAAAAAAAAAAAAAAAAAAACACACACACAAAATTTTAGGTGGGCAAGCACAACATTATTTACCTTGCTGCATGCTCACATTGCTGAGGGTGGCAGTGCACACACACACACACACCTTGTCTACTAGTTCGTTCATTCCCAATGTGGCCACAAGTCTGAACGTCGTGCACGCACCCTTCTGCCCGAGTTATCGAGGATGTCAACACCTTCATATCGGTTGTTGGGTATTCGCTTACGTTAAGGTCGTGGTTGACTCACGGGATTCACCTTGCCAGCCTCCTGCTCTGTCGTTTCCAGGTCTTCAGCTTCGATCCATTCGTCCTCGTTATCAGCCCCCCTGAGATCCACGACCTCCACCTCCACATCTTTCCCCTTTTCATTGTCATCCTTTAACTCATCATGCACGGTCTCCTTCTCCTCTTCGTCGTCGCCGTTGTCGCTGTCGGTGTCAGCATCCACCTCCTCTCCTTCTCTCTCCACAAACTCCTGTCGATCCTTGTCGACCTTGTCATCGTCCGAGTCCTTCATGTTTTCCTTATCCCCCTCTTCGTCCTTTTCGTCTTGTCCATCCTTGTTATCGTTGTCCTCGCCTTCACCATCCCCGTCCTCGTTCGAGTCCTTAATCTGCTCCTTCTCCCCCTCCTCCTCGTTTTTGTCATCTTCCCCCTCCTCCGCATTGTTGTTATCCTCGTCCCCGTCCATGTCCTCGCTCTCGTTCTCGCCATCGTCTTTGCCCACCCCTTTGTCTGTGTCGTGTTCCTCTCGATGTACGTTGTCCTCGTCGGACAACCCCTCATGCTCATGCGCTTCTGTCACATATACTTCAAAGTCCTCCACTACATGAGAGTTAAAGAGTCCTAGATGATCATGCTCGGTCCAAAATCGCTCGTAAGAACGCATTCGGTTTGGACGGTCACGCGAAGGCACAACATTCGCCGCCACCGCCACGTCGCCATGACGCACTCCTCCAGCTGGCCTTGGTGTCCTGCATTTGCGGACATTGTGGCCGGTAACGGAGGTAAGCCCGCATTGCGAACACCTCTGCTTGTCTGCCCTTGGCTGGCTGACCCTCCCATTCTCAAGACAACTCTTGATTCGACTTTCATTAGGAGGACGCCCTTTTTGGCGCTTCGTCGCGGGAGGGAGAACGGTCTCCTCACTGTCCATGGACGTTCTTGTACTTGCGAAGCACGTCGGGAAGACGACATCCTCATACGATGCTCGTAAGGCGCTCATGGTGTAGAAGGCGTCCACATACCATGCTATATCCTCGTTCCGTTCCGCGATGGCTGCTGCAACATGAGTGGATGGACGGTGACTGTCCTCCCAAAAGCGACATGTGCACAAGACTTTGCCATCAAGGAACTCCAACCGCCTCGATTGATGTCCGCATCTGTCCACATGATCTCATACACATCTTGTGATGCCTTTCGGACATCATACTTCCTCGCCAACTCCACAGTCATTGTTAAGATCTTCTCCACAACCGAAGGGAATCTGCCCCTCTCTACAGCAGCCTTCTCTCTCCTCTCTGTATGCCAAGTCTGCACGATTCCCGTGTACCCCTCGAGTATTGTTATTGGAGGCTTTCCACGAACCTCCAACATCTTGTTGTTCATGGACTCGGCTACGGACGATGTCACTTTACCATACCTTGGATGGACGAAATGGGGGCCTCCTCAATACCTTTTGTCCGCTTTCTCACATATTTGGTCGACAATGTTATTGTGCCTCGAATATCCAGCAATCCGCTGCATGTAGTAGTCGAAAACCTCCTCGCAAGTCGCCCTCGCCGCTTCAAGGAGCATCGCCACCTGTTCCTTTTTCAGCCTCAAGCTCTTCAGGAGGTTCCCATTGACATAACGGACACAGTATCCATCCGCTCATCCCCAAACTCCTCACTGACCGCTGGTATGAGCCCTTTGTCCTGGTCTGACATTATTGTCACGATTCTGTGGTCCGTCTTCGCTACAACGCACAAGCGTTTTAAAAGGACGAGAAACCACTTCCAATGTGTCTTCCTCTCGCCATCCACAATCGTGTACGCCAGGGGGAAACATTGGCCATTCGCATCTCGACTAGTGGCGTCAAGAAGACATCCCTTGTATTTCCCTCTGATGTGTGTGCGATGTGCAAACCCAGTCACAGAGGCGGCCAACGCGAAAAACATGCGAACGAAGACGTTGCCCTTGCACTCAAGGTCGATGATGGACCCTGGGTTTGTTTCATGCAACACCCTGCAGTACCTTCGCAAGTCGCTGAACCCCTCCTCCGGAGCCACATTCAGTGTCCGAAGCACAGATGTCCTCGCTCGGAAACACTTGCTGTAGCTAACGTGGGTCTTCACTGCCTTGTCAAACCATTTCTTCAACTTCGTGGAAGTCGTTCCGCTGTCCTCTCGCAACTTCTTCTCAACCATAAGCTCCACCCAGCTCAGCTTTGCGTGTTTGTTGCGTTTCAGGCCGGGCTGGACTGGTTTTCTACAACCAGGGCGATGCGGAGTCAGACGAACAATCTCCGTGTGTCCATTAGCATGTGCTGCTTTGCCCTCCAATGACCATGGGCAATCTGGGTTAGCACATATGACATTGTACCTTGTCTTGTTCGATCTCTTCAGGCAGAACTCGAAACCAGATGCCACAACACAGAACACCACCGCATCACGCAACGCATCCATAGACTCATAACGACCTCCCACTTCCAACGGTTTGAAATCCCCCGTGAGTGCTTGTTGTGTGGGAGGTGTAGTCCGCATCGCACCATCAGGACTGGTCAGATCATCGCCTGATGAGAACGCCTTATGGTCAGAGGAATCATAAGTCTATTGCTTTTTTGTGTGTCTCCGTTTTCGACCACGCCTCTCGTGTGCGAGGGTCCACCGGGATGACGGTCCGCTGTCTGAAAGCTCTGGAGGCCGCTGGGATGTCCCTCCAACGAATGTCGCATCCCTGAAGGTCATATATATGCGCAGTGAGGCTATCTCGGCGTGTTCGTCGTCGCATGTGTCACCCGGTGGTCCAATGTCACAGTCCTGGCTACCGCCCGTTTGGATATCTCCCAATGGCAAGTCCGGCGCACATGGCGTGCGGCCGCCAATGATATCGATTGCTGCACTTTCTACACGTTCACGCATTCCACGCGGCGTATCCAAAGGCGTTGTGACAGTGGTCCTCAATCCTTGTGATGCTGTGTCACCCAACGGAAGTGAGGCGTCCACATGGATGGGAGTGCTTGTGTCACACTCGTGCGTTTGGCGGGTAGAATCTGCAAGGGCCTCGCCACGCGACGGGGCAACAGTTGTGGACGTTCTCAGAGGTGCCCATGAAACATGTGGACTGCGGGAATCAAACTGTGTGGATGGTGGAGTGACAACAGAATCGTGATTGAGATGGTCAAGTGAATGGGAAGGATACGTGTGATGAGGACGAAGTGATAGGGATGGACAGGGGTGATGCGGTTGGCTTGACGACAATCCATGCATCATCTCGTGCGTTCGATTAACATGATGTGTCATCGAGAGAGAAGTGGCAGGTGTGTTCGGTGTTGTGCCTGCAAAATGTGGACCCGAAGCATGCACGTAGTGTGGGTCACCATGGTTTCCCCCATAGGCATGTGCAGAGCCAGGAATGGTAGGACACATGTATGCTAGGAAGTGCAAGGGGAGCATGTGGGCTGGATGATAGGGAATGGTGGGGGTGTTGGGAGTTGTCGAGAACGGTGAAGCAGCACACCGAGAATACTCCACACCCCATGGAAAGTGCGGAATTTGTGGTATAGGTGGAGTCACGGGAGTACGCATCGCATGAAAAGAGGAACGTGGACCGTGGAGAGGGTTCGAGGGACCCATGACATGCGATGAAGAAAATGCAGGTTGACTCACGGGACAAATGCACAGCCAGGTGCAGTTCTGATGAGCAACAAATGTCAGGGCCACTACTGGATCAGAAGCGTGTGACCGCACAGGTACATGATGTACCAGCTTCCGCACTTGAACGAACTCCTGGAGCCCTGTGTTTTTCTTTGGGCAGTACTGTCTTCCCCCAAACATAATGCACCCTGAAAAGGAAAGTATACAAGGTATGTTTCCGGCCAGATACAGTCAGAATGAGGGTGCGTTGTGTTCGGGGGAAGACGGTAGCAGGCTCTCTCTCTCTCTCTATGTGTGTGTGTGTGTGTGTGTGTGTGTGTGTGTGTGTGTGTGTGCGTGTGCGTGTGCCCCACCTCAGGCCCGACCTGAGGTGGTTTTGCCTAGGCCCTACCAACCTACCGGCCTGATGTGGGATGAAAATAGCCCCGAAAGGTTTTCCCTGGGTGCATAATACTGGCCTAGGTTTTTTCAGGTACCAAAAAACAAAAAGGTTTTGGCATGGGCTCTTTCCACCAATTATTTCCCCAAAATGATTTTTGGCATCACTTGCACCCTGTAAAACATTTTCCCGCCATTTTTGCACAGAGGCTTTACCGGCCCAGCCAAGTCATTTTTGGGTCTGCCACACATTTTGCCCAGTTTGGGGGGAAATGAATACGAAGGTTTCGCTGTGGGGAGGTTTTATAAATTTTCCCCTTTTTTCTTTACGAATTTTCTTTCCAAGACTCTTGCTTTTTCACACCATTCCAGAACCCGCAGAATCGCGCTCTACACTAATGAATCCAGCACGTAGCTTGCCTGGGTCGGCCTGACCTTCTTGGTTTATGGTGACGGGGATTAAATTGTTGTAATTACCGATTGTGACACATGTGCAGGAGGGCACATGCGGAGATGGAGAGAGAGAGAGAGAGGAGATGGACACACATGAGAAGCAGCAGCTGAGACAAGGTCCAGTCCCACTCAATGAACCAATGAACCATGCAAGAATGGAATGAACCAACTGAATGAATGAATGACCAACCCGGCCTAGGCCTACGCCCGAGGGATATACCGGGCTCGGTCCAGGCCGGAGTAACCAAGTACATGACCTGTCTCTTATACACATCTAGATGTGTATAAGAGACAGCACATGAGAAGCAGCAGCTGAGACAAGGTCCAGTCCCACTCAATGAACCAATGAACCATGCAAGAATGGAATGAACCAACTGAATGAATGAATGACCAACCCGGCCTAGGCCTACGCCCGAGGGATATACCGGGCTCGGTCCAGGCCGGAGTAACCAAGTACATGACTGAGGTCAGGCAGGCGGCCTGAAACAGGTCCGGCCTCACTGTTGGGCCGAAAGGGTACCGCTACATGATCATCGGACCTGTAAATGGATCACACGATACATTTACACACTATCCGCTAAAATAGCCGTAACCCAGAGGAACGACAAAAAAACAATCATTGATGCGGATGAACCTAGAGTTACTTTGAGCCTTCTTGGAGTACATGTTGAATGTGTTGTGCTCTATACATCAATTTGAGTCTGTGTGAGTACTACGACTGATCTTGGCTGCCAGTTCTTCTGCTGAAATTAGCCCCCACCATGGGTGCTACGCTAGTGCCTTTTTATGACCACTATAGTATTACAGGACCCCTGTAGCGTCCACATCTGTGTTCCCACCCACAACAAATGTACATGGGGGGCTGTACCCACAAGCAGGTGGCGATCTCGGCCTATTGTCAGCTGGTAGCGGCAGAGACCATGCCATCTGGACCAATCTCTGCCCCACCCTTCCAGTCCCCTTGTACGAAAATCCGCAGTCTTTGCTTCATCCCAATGGGGGGGGCAGACACCATAAGGTACATAAGGTGTGTGCCATACTAGCTGAGGTAGGCCTCTGGCGAGACTTCATTTCAAACAGCACAACGAACTGAGAAAGAGAACTGTTATTGCAATCAAGTTTAGTTGATCGACAGAGAAAAGAGAGAAATTTCCAAAACAAGGGGAAACAGGGATCCATAACACAAATCTCCACCTTTCAAAAAAAAAAAAAAAAAAAAAAAAAAAAAAAACGGGAAAAAAGGGACAAAAAAAAAAAAAAAAAAAAAAAAAAAAAAAAAAAAAAAAAGGAAAACAGGGAAAACCAGGTGGCGGTACAGTCCGAAACAACTGTCTCTCAGACTCTCACAGTTTCTCAAGACATAAAAAAACAATCCGAACCTAAGAAACGAAATAACTCTAAGGTCTCCGCAAAACTCAAAGTCACCTCCCGTTTGCCACCGTACAACTAAGCCCATCAAAATCCACCACGCACCGTGTCACTGGGGAATTGATGGTAAACAGAACAGTTTCTGAAATTTCAAAGTACCAAAAAAAAAAATCCAAATTTCTCCCCTTCCCCATATTATAGGAATTTGAGGCCCTCCTTTCTGCACACAAGGAGTATGATCATACGCATTACAGGAGCAACGCTCAACGGTCTAATCAGATTTGAACGGGTTCGATTAAATTAAGAAGCGGAAAAGGAGCAAAGAATGGTCCAATCACTGGCAATCAGTCCTCGATGCAACCATCGCATGATAGGAATCAGCTGCTAAGTTTCATAATTCAATCCCTATTATGGACAAATGAATTCAATTTGAAATTAGTTCCACCATCCTTTCACCTAGCATGCACCCTTCTCTGCCGATGAGACCCTGGAGGAATTATCATTCGGTCCTCGGCGTGAATATAGACTATACAGAGAGCAAGCGAATGAGGTTGCAGAGTGCATTGTAGAAAGTAAATTATGAAAAAGCTAATTTACGAAAGGGTATATAACCTTATATTCACACTTCCACTTTTGCAATCGAATCTTGCTGTCATAATGTCATTACACTCTAATTCGTCCGGGCTATGGTAGTCTCAGTGTTAAGACCCGGGCCACCCGGCCATTCTCGCTCACTACCGTAGTTGCTATGGGAGAGAGATTTCAACCCTCTATATTTTTGTAATATGTCAGTTTTCAGCCTTTCAGGACTGATACCTTCAGCCGCTCAGGCATCCATCCAAAGAAAAAACGCCCTCCATAAAGCACAACCCGTGAAGATATGGTCCGGGCCGGGTGTTCTGCATCTTCTACAAATCAAATCGGATCTTACTACCGTCTTCACTCGAATAGAACGCCCTGCCATTATCGCCGCATCTGGACTGAAAGGTGGGCCAAATGCAGCGATAATGACCGGTCGTTCTATTCGGGTGAAGACGGTAGCGTGTCTGACGGTGTCCTTGTGGTCTTTGAGCGAAGATAGGGAGTGTAGGTTGTTTCTACAGTCTACCGCGGTGCTACGAGCACGAAACGGCACCGACACGTTTGCGAAGCAATATACGCAATACCCAAGTTGTGAATGAGTACGCCCGTCGCCGCCAACTCTAGAGACCTGTAAATCGGACGTACAGCGGGCAACGTCATGGAAACGACTCAGCAGGGAGATGACTAAAAAAAAAAAAGAAAAGAAAAAGAACTACGAGTTGAAGTCCTGCTATGATTCAAAAATGTTAAGGGCTATCCGCTGAGAAGGAAAAGAGAAAAGAAGTCCTTCGGGACATCCGTTAAAATTGCAATGATACAGAGAAGATTAGCATGGCCCCTGCGCAAGGATAACACGCATAAATCGAGAAATGGTCCAAAAAAAAAAAAAAAAAGAGAAAGAACAAGGCAGGTAAGCCACAGGGTTTGAACTCGTATCGGCCCCAGGTAAACAGTGAGCTACAGCTGTCCCTGCCCGGCAATAGATGAAGACGCCCCCCGGCAGCAAACGGGCAGACAAGAAACTGTTCTGAGGGTTAATCGAAACCATGGAGCGGCAGGGTGCTGAAACTCCAAGATCGCACCCGTGTAGAGGGGGAAAAACAAGAAATGAAAGGTGGCTACAACTTTATCGGGAGCTCAAGAGCAGAGTTCTTAGAGAGTTCTACCGGGAGTTCGACAGCAGAAGAAGGCGATGCTACCGGGCGTTCTGGAGCAGAAGACCGTACAGTGCTACCATCAGATGGTTTTCTAGATCGATAAATAAGGTGAACGAAAGCGCCACCTACAGCTAAGCAGATCACACCAACTGCCACAACGACACCAACCGCTACCCCGGCGCTGACACCTCTCCTAGGTGCAGTCTGGGCCGTTGCCGGCGGAGACCGTGGAGACCTGTCAGCCAAGCTACTGCTGACACGTGTATCACTGCCATTGTGTCCCGGCGAAGAGGATGATCCCGTTGCTGGAGAGGCATCAGTTGATTGCTCTGGCCATGATGATGATGCGGATGCTGATGATGATGATGATGATGATGATGATGATGATGATGATGTCGAAGGTTCTGACGACGATGGCGATGGAGCGGATTCCGTTGATAGCGCTGGCGATGGCGATGATGATGATTCTGTCGACGGTTCTGACGGCGATGGCGGTGACGATGAATCATAGGCTGAGGTACTGGCTGTCAGCACTGCTGCTGGTGTCGGAAATGCACCGCTGCATTGCCCAAGAGCTTGCTTGTTGATTGGAAATTCGAACAGCTGCCCCGTCTGGATCGAGACGTACAAATGGCTGTCATCGTGATCTAAAGCAACGGTCCCGATAACGCATCCTCCTGGGAGGACGCATCTTGCCACCGTCTCCATCATATGCACTTTGTCTCCGGGTTTATCGAAAGTCACCCGCCGGATATTTGTGTCCCAATCCGCGGCGAAGAATAGGTTACAGCCGTCTTGGGTCAGCGCAAGATTCGCCTCCCAGGTATTGGCACCGACATAGAGCGAGTTATGCTGCCCAGCCTCGTATGTCCCAGTTACCCAGTCCACGGATCCATTAATCAGGTTAAAACCTATAATCTTATGGTACGTGTCATCCCTAGCGTATAGGTAGCTCCCATCTTGGAGAAAGCTTCGATGACCGAAGGAGAGATAGCTGTCATCACGGCATGCTCTTGTTCTGAAATCGTTGACAAAGCTTTCAGGCGACTCGCCATCCATGACGGAGAACTCAAGGCATCTATTTCTGGCCACGTACAGAATCGTGCGGTTAGGATTGAATGCAGCGAATCTACACCGGAAGTCGGGGATCAGATAGGGATAGGTAGGTCTGGAACCGTCCGTGTTGTTGATGAAGGCCAGACCCCAACGAGTAGGCATCACGAGATTTCGCTCGTTCCGCGACAGATCGAACCCCGTGGAGTAAGCAAGTCCGTCTTCGCTCCCCACTGTCCCCAGGTTCCAAGCAGCAGCACTCGCCGCAGTGCCGTTCCGATGTTCAGACGTCCACGATAGAGTCAGCAGGGAGGAGTTGCCTTGTGCGTCCCCAGAGCTGGCAATACCTCGCAAATCACCCTTGCGCACAGACTTCACCGAATCTCTGCGAGCACTTGCAGAAGTGTTCAGCGATCTATCTTCGCGCAAATAGAAGAACACAGCCCTCTGGGAGGTGAATACCACGCTCCTGACCCATGAAAGACACGACTTTGTACCGGATGGCGAACATGCAGAGTCAGTAGGGGTCAAAACCACGCGGAAATCTTGAAGAAGAGTCGTGCTTGTGATGTCGAAAGCAGGCGATGGGCCTCCCTCCGACGGGCCTGCCTCAAGCATTCTCTCTCCCCGCCTGTCGCCAATGTCATGATATCCCGTCTCCATTCCCGTAACGGGCTCCCCTCCTGTCTGCGCTGTCGAGCTCCCAGATGCTCCTACTGCCGCTAGCACCCGCATTGGCATACTTATAATCATCATCGTCATCATCGTTACCATTATCACGGTGAGCATCGCCATCGGCCTCGAGACGCAAAGCGAATGACCTCTTTGCCAGAGGCTTGGAAGGTCGGTGTTGAAGATGACAACGATTCACAATCGCAGAGTCGAAGACCCACAGAATTCGGACAATCGAGAAAGAGGCACGTGGACCTCCGAGGATGTCTGAGCCAACTGCTTGGAGAGAGAGTGGCAACACACAGACGTGAGAGGACGATGACGTGCCGTGGTGACGTGTGTCTAGGCTATCCAGGGCGTAGCTGTTAGGAGTGAGGGAAATTAAAAAAAGAAAAAAAAGAAAAAATAAAAAAAATAGTGAGAATGAGAAAGAAAATGAAAAGCAAAAAGAAAAAGGACGCGTGTGGCGAGGGGACGCCGATATGAGTGGAAAGTCCTATCGGATAGACCCAGAGCAGATCCCAATAGCGAAGTTGTGAGTTCTCTCTGGGCGACTCCTGTGTTGCGGATGCTCAGCGACCACTTCCTCCAACTAATTGGCCCCTTCTGGTCTAAGACAACGCATCGGCAGCTGAAGCGGCAAGTGACCACAGAGGGAGAAGATGTCCGACCCAAAGCGCTGGGGAAACAAGAAAGCAATCTCACACACGCGACACGCTCACGCAGAACGACGGCGGTGTGTACACACACACA